ATTGAACAAGGCGAAATCATTTTACATTGATCATTAACACATATAGCTTCGGTACAAGCTGGATTATAACCTTGTAAACAAAGCTCACATAACTTATTGAAAATACAATTACTTGCATCAGTTCCTTTGCATTGATTGGTAACGAGAGACGTTTCTGTAGAAATAGATAAAATCTCTTGAGAACATCGTTTAATTATATTACATTTTCCATTAATACAAGTTGCTTGATTACAATCTGGTCCACGACCATTTTCACATGTAGTACATTCATTCGAAAATAAACATTGACTTGCATTGGTACAGTCATTGGGATTGGAAGATAGTTCAACAAGTTCTCTTGACAATAAAATAGTATCGAAAGGCATACTGTTAACAAGAACTAAAACACTAATAAAAATAGTGAGTGTTTTCATCATGTCTTTTCTTTTTTCTAATCGATTATAGTGATGTGTAGCTATTTGATTATACTTCATACGTATATATACATCAAAATAACAATTAAGCTTTCTTATTCAAAAAATGATTTTGTTACTTGTCATTATATTCATATTATAATAAAAAGATCGATTTATTTATTGCATCGAAAACATTATTGGGTGCCTTAGTATAAAATGTACAAGTTGGAATGCACTTATTCATTTATATAATCATACAAACGTTTTTTTTCTCTTGTACTGATCAAATGATTGCAGTATTAATAAATAAATGAGTTTCTGTTTTATTTTTTTGAACTGAAAATATTTAGTTTTGTATGAAATTGGTTAGTGAATTTCCTGATCACTATAAATTATTATATTTAAGCGACAAACATAGACAAGAAAAAAAATGTTTATGCTTGTTTTTTTTCCGTTTCGGTGTGTATTAGTAGTTAACGTCCACGAGCAGTTGGTGTTTTTCCTGTTTCTCCACCAGCACTTTTTGATGCACCATTTGTACTTTTTTCACGTGATGCTGTTGGTGACATATCTGGATATTTACTTTGTTCTTGTAAGGCTCGTTTTTCTAAATTTCTAACATGATCAATTGCGCGTTGTTTTAATTCTTCACGTGTTAATGGTTTAAGTTCGTCTTCGACTTTTTCTTCTTGATCACGACGATCGTCTCTATATGATTTTATCACAAAAATTAAAAATAAAAAAAAAATGCTCAAACAATTGATAAATACACTTACGTATTTGGAAGATGAACATGAACATGTGGTGCTGGTCCAGATGGACCATCACCAATGAGATTCGGTGCACGTTCACGTAATGGAATATTTTGTTCCTAAATAGAAACAAAAAGGATTTTCAATAAAGTTAAAATTATTCTTTTTGACAAAAAAATTCTTATTTTACTTTTGCATTCATAGTTGCTTGTGCCATAAGTAATTCATTTGTTCTTTCTTCAATAGTACCTAAATATCGTAACATATTATCTTCAGTAACACCTTCATGACTTTGTAATAAATGATCAATTTGTCGACGATCACAACCAATCTTTTTAAATATTGAATCAACACCTGAAAAGTGATCAAAAATTTAGTTTTGAAATATTAAATAGAAAAAAATATGCGTGTAACGATGACAGTGAAACTTATGTCCGTGTTAGTCTTGGATCTAAGATTTTGAAAAACAAAGATAAGCGTGGTCATAATACGTGTTTTGAAGCTCATTAGAATTCGTATCGGCTCATTTTTGGGCACTTTATGCTGAGAAAGATTGAAAAATATTTCAGAAAGGAAGGTCAGTCATCTTCAAGTGTTCTCCATTTGAATTTGCTACTGATGACAGTCTTGAATTAATTTCAAATTTTTTCGATCAGAGGGGCCACTTCAAGAAAGTAAATAAATTTTCTAAAAATAAATTAAATGATTTCGCGCTCTAGGAATTCGAATGAATAGGGTATTTGTTGAAATCCTTGAGTTTGTTTTCCGATGAAGACAATGTTTATTTGATGAGTAGTAGTAAGTAATAATAAAGTCTAGAACAATTTGCTTTTTCTGAGCTTTCGTTCATCAGATATCTGAAATTCTACTGAGTTTTTCAACAAAAAACTGCGGTCTTCCTCAGATCACTTTCAATTTTTGGCGTCAAGCTTTGTATAAACAAAGTTCTTAATGAGATTAGTTGATTTTACAACGGGTATTTCCTTCCTGTGGATATATAGATATATGAACAAACTTTGCTTTTACATATAAGAGAATTTCTAATATTTTATATTTCAGCAAAGAAAACACTAGAAAATTTACAACTTGCTTATTCAAGTAATCTTCTCATGATCTGAAGAGAAGTCTAGTTTTTCGTTGGAAAAAAAATCAATAAAATTTCAATATCTCGAGAACGAAAGTCGGGGAAACTAAATCTTACTAAACTTCTCTATGACTCTCTAGAACTCATCAAATGAGCATCATTTCGAATCGAAAAACGAATTGACACTAGAAGAGGTTCTCTGGTTAGTTCACAAGGTTTAGTCATGTTTTATCAAATTCAGCTATTTTCTTGAAATAGATTTCCTCCGATCACCGCAAAAGTCTTAATGAATGTAAGACCATCAGAATTCTTGACATGCATGTCTAGATCAACGCATCAATCTATAGCTACATCGCTAGAACAAAGAATAGACCTGCTCGACATTGATCAAGAATTTTTTTTGCACTACGCATTTTTTCTTCATATTCTTCGGCTAATTTTGCTGCTTGTGAACGTTTATCTTCCATTTGATCAAGCATTTTTTGTCGTTGATCTTCTAATTCAACACCTTGTGCTTCAAAACGACGAATTTCTTTTTTAATATCAGCTATTTGTTCTTGTAACATTTCAATTTGATTATTTAATTCATTAATATAATTAAATAAAGCAAAATTTTTATCTTCAACTAAAAACAAAGAATTTTTTCGTTGAGAAAATAATTAAAATAGAAAAAAAAAAATTATGAATATTTTCATACCTTCAATAAATTTATCAACAAGTTTATCTAAATCTTGTTCACCATTTATGTCTTGAATTTGTTTAAATTTACTTTCATATGCTTCTACTGAATGTTCTTCTTTTTCTTTACGACGTTTTTCATTTGCTTCAGCTTCTACAAACCAATACCAAAGAGAAAAAGTATTCTTCATTTCGTTTAAAAAAAAAAGAACAAATTGAATACCTCTGCGTTTTCTATACGTAACAAGGCCTTCATCTTCCTGTCGTTCTTGAGATTTAAGTTTCATAAAATCACGCAATTTCCGATCATGAGAAATTTGTCGTTCAAGTTCTCTCATTTCACCTTCAGCTGTTAATTTGTCTGTTTCAGCTTTAGCTATATGTGCATGATTAAAAAACAAAAATGTACAAAATGAAATAAATTAATTTATGATTTACTTTGAAGAATAATTGCTTTTGCATTTGCATCTTTACTAAAAGATTTTTACAAAAGATTTCATTAAATTTAAGCAACAAACAAAACATGATCAAATATTAGTTAATAGAAAAAAAAAACAGGGAAAAGAAAACGTTTTTTTGTTTTTTTTTGTAATCATTTTCTTTGTATATTAGTCGGTGTAATCTATCGATCAAAATACACAAAGTTTTGTTCGTTAGATAAATTCTTTCTACATATTGCAAACCTTGTTGAAATCTATTTAAAAGCATGATTTTGTTTTTTGATAGCAAAAATCGACTAAATCAATAATTAATTCTTAGACTACTTTGCTCCTTTTTTTTTTTAATCCTTTATGTAAAAGCAAGAATTCAATTTAATCTGATGTTCCAATATGAATAACATTGTTAACCTTTTTTATCTTTTAAAAAAAGAAATAATCAAATTTATTAAGTTGAATTTTAATATTATCATACCGTTGTTCATATGATGTAACTGAACGTTCAATACATTCTACTAATTGTACACGTAAATCTCGAAGTTCATTTTCAGATTTTTGAGATAAATTTTCATAACGTTCTCTTTCATTTCGTAAATTATCAATTTCAGAACGTAATAGACTATTGGTAGTAAGTAAGGAATTAAATCGTTTTAAAGCCTTGTTATGTAAAAAGAACAAACAAAAAAATGTTATAAGCCATATTCAAAATCCTCATACCGTATCTAAACGATTTTCTAAAACACGTTCTTGTTTACGAACATTTGCATTAAATGTAATTGCAGCATTAGAACCACCGATTTCTGTTTGTTTTTGACGAATTTTCTTTTCCCATTCACGTAATTTAGCATCGAGATCAGTTGATATTGCTTGTTCATTTTGTATTTCATTTTGAATTTCATCTTAAAAATTATTTGATTTAAATATAATTTTTAAAATAATGGACATAAATACCTTTTGTTTGTATAAGTTCCCGTAATTTTTTTGTTTTTTCTTCATCACGTTTTTGATTTTCAAGACTTTCAGCCAAACGATATACTTTATCTAATTCATCACGTTCCTTTGCTAATTGTTGAAGAGTTTTACTTTAAAAACGAGATAACTTGTTATTTAATTAAAGATTTCTCAAATTTTACCTTTGCGTTCGTAATTGATCTTTTTTTTCAATTGTGAATTCGTGTTGATCTTCCCGTGCATGTCGATAATTATTTTGAAGTTTACTCAATTGTATTTCTTGAAATTCTTCATCCGAATCTTCGGATATTAATCGACCAGCCATTATATACACAATAAAAGAAAAAAAGAAAAGTCAAATCAATCAAGAACACAATAACAAAAAAAATGTTTCTCTATCGACATTTTTATGTATGAAGTGAAGGTAACGCCTCCCCACTGTGTACATATTATATTTGAAATAAATTCAAATTCCTTCCAATGTGATTCTTTTATATATTATTAGTCAATAGGAAAGAATGTTTTTATTGACGATGACGATTAAGTATTATTATATTTAAGCTTGTAAATCGTAACTAAGAATTAAGAATTGAGATTTTATTTTTGTTTCACTGTCATAAAATTGAAAACAAACAAAAAAGGCCAGGATTGTGAGCGAGATTATAAGATCAATTATAAAAAAAAAACAACAAAATAAATTATATTAAAAATCATCATCTTCAGTATATGGTGCTCGTTGTTGTGGTTGCTGTCGTTGTCGTCGTTGTTCATTACTTGCACTTGGTTGTCCGCTCATGGTTCCTCTTTGATGAACACCACTATTTCCTCGTCTAGGATCCATCTCCATACCTAAATCATCATCTGCATCGTCCATACCAGCTCCACCGACTCCTCGACCCATTTGCATTTGATCTTCATTATCACTTAAATCATCTGTCATACCGCCGTAAGTCTGGCCTCCTGCACCATTTTCTAAAGAAATATTATGTTAAATGATATAACAAACGATGAATTAAATACCTAATTTATTTCCTCGAGGTACCGATGAGTGTTCCATATCTTCATCATCTTCCGATTCTTCGTCACTAAATAATAAAGCAAATAAATTATGAATTTATAATGAAGATCTTAGCAGAAATTTATGCAGGAATAATGTCGCATGACAAATATTGAATTTTCAAATACAGTTCAATAGGTAAGTTTCATTAGAAATCTAGATTTATCTTAATTATATTTCAAATAAGTCACCTGTAATGTATATATGCTTCTGGGAAAAACTATTCTTCATCTGAATGCTTTTCATATCGAACTCCTATGACCTACATTGAATGTTGGTTAGGATCCGCTTCAATGAAGAATGTATATTATTGAATACAATTAGCCAATACTGCAAACGAGTTAGTTGATAGAATACTTCATGACTGAATCATCTCTTTTTGATATTTTACTTTATGTGTATTTGTATAATCAACTATATTGTATTCTTCGAGTAGTTTAGAGTCGGCAGTAAAAAGTTTAATAATCCAAACTAGCAGATACAAAAAAAAAAGATAACTCAGTCATGAAACACATTCTGTCAACTAACTGATTTGGTGTGTTGCTCAATTGTATTGAAAGCTGTATATTCTTCATTCAAGCAAATTGTCATCAATCATACACTACGCTACAGTAAAGTACTTAAGTCATCCTTGTAACTAACATTCACTTGCAGCTAAAGAAGTTATATATGAAAAAAAAGGATGAAAGGTACATATGGTTTTCAATAACACAAAATTCTTTTTTTCTTAACCCTTTCCAGCCGGCTATCAGAAGACAGGTAGCAAAAAAATCTTTTCGTGCATTTTTATTGCTCCTACACCATAGAGATAGGAAAAGTTTATTTTTCAGAACCAATAAGTGCTTCGGCATCTAATTGCTTTATGTATCCATTTGGATACATCCGGCCACTAGGGGACAAAAATTTTGA